TTTTAATATGCTATCTAGGTTGGTCATAACTTTCCTTCCAAGGAGTAAGCGTCTTTTAATTTCATGGCTGCAATCACCATCTGCAGTGTTTTTGGAGCCCCAAAAAAGAAAGTCTGACACTGTTTCCACTGTTTCTACATCTATTTCCCATGAAGTGATGGGACTGGATGTCATGATCTTAGTTTTCTGAATGTTGAGTTTTAAGCTAACTTTTTCACTCTCCTCATTCACTTTCATTAAGACGCTCTTTAGTTCTTTGCTTTCTGCCATAAGGGTGGTGTCATCTGCATATCTGAGGTTATTGATATTTCTCCCATCAATGTTGAGACCAGCTTGTGCTTAAACTACCGCACGATTGCACTCATCTCACAAGCTAGTAAAGTAATGATCAAAATTCTCCAAGCCATGCTTCAACAATACGTGAACCATGAACTTCTAGATGTTCAAGCTGGATTTAGAAAAGGCAGAGGAACCAGAGGTCAAATTGCCAACATCCGCTGGATCATCGAAAAAGCAAGAAAGTTCCAGAAAAACATCTATTTCTGCTTTATTTTTGTTGTTGTTGTTATTTATCACTTGGTATTATCTTTAATTAAATACAAAGACTTTTCCAATCACATCACATAGAGATCATTTTATCCACTGCTGTGTTTGGCTGCGAGTCTCTTATCTCTCTCCTCAGCAATGGTAAGGCGAATACCCTTTCCACGGGGAAGAGAGATCCACAGTTTGTTGCCTTTGCCAATAACGAAAATGTTTGAGAGCCGAGTGGCAAAGCTGTTGCCGTTCGCATCTTTCACATGAACTCCATCAGAAGAGCCTGGATGTCTCTCCCGGTTTGTAATCACACCAATTCTTCCCAGGTTAGCACCTCCAGTCACCATGCACAGGTTACCAGTGTCAAATTTGATGAAATCAGTAATCTTGCCAGTCTCCAGGTCAATCTGAATGGTGTCATTCACCTTGATGAGGGGATCAGGGTAACAGATGGTACGAGCATCATGGGTTACCAGATGAGGGATTCCTTTTGTCCCCACAAATATCTTTCTTACTTTGCAAAATTTATACTTGGCCTCCTCAGGTGTAATACAATGAATAGTAAAGCGACCCTTGGTGTCATAGATCAAGTGAAAATTCTCTCCAGTCTTATCAGTGTTGATGACATCCATAAAACCAGCTGGGTAGGTTCTATCTGTGCAGACTTTGCCACCGATCTTAATGAAACGCTGCATGCAGATCTTCTTTACTTCATCTCCAGTTAGGGCATACTTAAGTCTATTCCTTAGGAAAATGATTAGGGGGAGACATTCCCTTAGCTTGTGGGGCCCAGTAGATGGACGAGGAGCAAACACACCAGTCAGTTTATCCAGCATCCAATGTTTTGGAGCTGCTATGCATTTCAGGTGCTCCTTGGGACCCCGAGCCATGGCTGCGCTAGGCATGAAAAGAGCTATTTCTGCTTTATTGACTATGCCAAAGCCTTTGACTGTGTGGATCATCACAAACTGTGGAAAATTGTCAAAGAGATGGGAATACCAGACCGCTTAACCTGCCTCTTGAGAAACCTGTATGCAGGTCAGGAAGCAACAGTTAGAACTGGACATGGACCAACAGACTGGTTCCAAGCAGGAAAAGGAGTCCATCAAGGCTGTATATTGTCGCCCTGCTTATTTCCCAGTATATATCTCAGTAATCTGGGGCTTGTTTTTTTTTCTTCTCCATACCTGAACTTTACTGAGAATAAGAGAAGACGTTAATGCAGTTTCAGTGGCAGCCCAGATTACTGCTAAAAGGCTTATACACTTCAAAATGGAAGGCTCCCACAGAAACTCATTCCTTGTTTATTTGTTTCTTTGCTATACGTTTATCAAACTGTCCTCCAGGTTTACAAATATAATTGATTATAAGAGGCAAATAAGATGTTCTGAGAAGGCTTACTTTTTGGAAGGCACATTTACAGAAGTTAAAGATGATTTTTTTATATGTAGTACCATGTTTATTGGATTAAATACTTAACCATTTAATGTACAATTGTACTACTGTTTTTATTCAGTTCTGTTCAGTCGCTCAGTCGTGTCCGACTCTTTGCGACCCCTTATTAGGGTCTGTTTTAGTTTGGGCTGATGTAAGAAATATAGCATAGGCTGGGTGGTTCCACAACAAACCTTCAAAGCTTTATTTCTCACAGACCTGGAAACTGGAGGCTCCAAGATCAAGATGGCGGCACTTCCAGTGTCCTGTGAGAGCCACTTCTGGTTTTATTCACTCGCAGTGGCGAGCAGAGTGAGGAGCCAAGCTCCGTGCCTGTTTATGAGGGCACTAATCCCATTCATCAGGGTTCACTCTCCTGACCTAGTTAGCTCCCAAAGGCATGACTTTCAAATCCATCACGTCGGGGATTAGACTTAACATAAGACACACAGCGACACAAAAACACACACCACAGAACAGGCCCATATATTTAAAAAAAAAAAAAATATAAAAAACAGAGTTTTTGAGTGATGGGTACCTGTCTCATTTCCCCTATAAACCCTGTGGGTTTTCTTGTTTTTGTTGTTGCTTGCCTTCATTTTCAAAGAGATTTATTTAAAAATTTTTTTCAGCTTTGTTGAGGTATAGTTGACAAATGAAATTGTGATACATTTAAAATGTACATAGTAAATAAAATAAAATAAAGTGTACATAGTGACAATTCAGTTTGTGTATACATTGTGAAAAGATTCCTTCCATCTAGTTAATTAACACACTCATCATCTCATTTCTTTTTTTGGTGAGAACATGTAAATTCTATGCACTTAGCAAATTTCACTTGTATAAAAGTCTTGTCAACTAGAGTCACCACATTATACATTAGATCCTTAGACCTTATTCATAGATTTTTTGACAGGGATAAAAGGAAATAGAAAAGCAGACACATGGACTTACAGATAAGGATCCTGAGGCTTAGGGTTAACTAAGCTGACCAAGACTGCAGCCTTTGGAAGTGGTCGAGACAGAGTTTGAGGTCAGTTTGTTTGAGTCTACAGATCATGCTCACAATGTCTGCTCTGTAGACTTCTTTAACTTGGGGCCTAGGGCTCAGGTCGCAGTTTTCCCCGTCATAGCCCTTCATTCCCTCCTCCCTGAGATAGCCAGTGTTAACTCTAGCTATTTCCTTTCACACTTGTCTGTCTGCTCATTTGGAGCACAAGTCTGAGTCCCCCAGCATCACTGTGGGTCAGCAGGTCTTGAGCAGTCTCTGCCTCTCTTGTGCACAAGTATGTGCATATACACACTTACATGACTTTATATATACAGTGTATTTCAAATAATTTATATATAAGTAGAATTCTTTTTATAACTTCAGTCTTCTCTGGTTTTTCTTTTTCTGCATAGCTTCCTCTTCTCCAGTAACTACATTTAGTAATGTAGGATCTGTGTGTTTATTTCTGTACTTTTCCTCTTGCTCGTATAATCATATCCACATTGCTATCTATCCACCTACTTACCCACTTACAATAGACATAAATACATATATAAACACATATGGGTTTTTTTGGTCATTGCTTGTTTTATAAAAAATGGGATTGTATTATATTTTCTCTGCATCTTATTTTCCACATTTAATAGCAACCTAATGGAAATCTCTCCAATTGTTATAGCCCTAGTTAATTATTTTTAGTGCCTACATGATGTGGTATGACTGTTCCCTGATTTGTTCAGTGTTCCCATGTTGACGGACATTTACCTTGCTGTTAGTTTTAACGGTTGCAATTAATAACCTTGTTTATATAACATCAGGTTTAGAAATTTATTTTCATGGGATAGAGTCCCAGGAGTGGGATTGCTGATTGTATTTAAAATTTTAATAGATATTGCCAAATTATTTAAACTGAAATGGTTTCATTTGCACTAATACCTTAAGAGAGTACCTTTTTTGGTCCTTGTTGATTTGTAAGGATACTTCATATATTATAGAAAGTAACCATTTATCTATATTAAGTTACATTTTAAAAATCTGTCATTTGTTTACTGACTTTATCAACTTATTCCTTTTATAACTTTTGAATCAAAACACTATACATTATAATCTAAATTTTCTTCTAATATGTTTATTGTTTGTGTGCTTTCTTTGTATGTATGATATATATCACTTTTGCTGAAAACTGAACTCTCTCATCTCTTGATCTTCAGCAGTTAGGTATTAACCTGGCTTTTGTTGGCTGAGATAGTGTGGTGGCTCACTCAAGTGGGGTTCCTTTCTTCTCTTTTCTAGAGGAAGCATGGCTTGACACTTCTTCACCTTGCAGCCTGTTCTGGAAGTCTGGAGAGCATGCTCATGTTGGTTAGAGCTGGAGCGGACCAGAGAGCCGAGAGGCAGGTAGGTATGTGGATCACACCAGACAAGCCCTCGCTCACCGTGCAGGAGGGGGAAGGTTACAGAGTAATTACCTCCCCTCCCCTGGCTCTCTTTAGGATGGAGTGAATGCCCTCCACTTTGTAGCTCAGAGCAATAACATGCGCATCGTGGACCACCTCATTCAAGATCTGTACCTGGAAGACCTGGACCAGCCTGATGAGGTGTGTTAGCTGTGGGTCTCAAATAAACCTTGCTAAATTCCACTGTCTTCCTGTCCCTGCTGGAACTGCCAGAGCAGCCGGCACAGACAGACCCGGCCCTGTGGCTGACTCCTCCCTCACTCTGGCAGACCGCAGAGCAGCGGGCAGTTATCGGTGCTGGTGGCGGCCTTGGCCCCTGCGTGTGGGGAAGGCAGGAAGTAATGAAGAAGCAGTCTCTACTCCCTCATCCTGGCCATGGGGCGGACAGGACCCACCCTGTGTGGCTGTCTGCGTCTTCCTCTGTGATGCCTGGCCTTTTGGGAATGTGCTCGGCCCAAGGCTGCGCTGCGATGAGCATGGAGTACGCTGCAATAGCACTATGTTTGTCTCTATTTTTGTCCTTTCATGAGAAGCATGGAAATAACGATAACAGCTACAGTGGCTGTAGTGGTAAAGAACCTGCCTACAATGCAGGAGACATAAGAGATTCGGGGGCTTGATCCCTGGGTGGGGAAGATCCCCGGGGTGGGGGGGGGGCATGGCAACCCACTCCAGTATTCTTGCCTGGAGCATCCCATGGACAGAGGAGCCTGGTGGGCTACGTGCAGTCCATGGGGTCGCAGAGTTGGGCATGACTGAAGCAACTACGCACCACTTATTGAATATTTATTGGTGTGCTTGGCCCAAAGGAAAGCTGTGTCCACACATTTCAGTGAGAGGTCTAGAGCTTGGCACATATGGATGCTTAAGAAATCATTGTTGAATGAATACTTTATACTGTTAATCCCCATAGTAATCCTATAATGAAGAAATATTTTTATTTATATTTGAGGAAGTCGAGGAAGTCGAGGCTCAGAGAGACTAAGTACCTGGTCTCAGGTGCCCAAACTGGAAGGTGACAGAGCCAGGTTTGGAATTAAGATCTGGTGACTCCAGTCACCGTGCAGTACTGTCTCCCCTCACAGAGGACCGTGGGCATTGCCCATGCGCTAGGAAATAACCCTTTCTGGGCTTTTTTCATAAGGCAGTATCCTCTGTGGGGTTGGCATTTGGATTTCAAATGGGACTTCCTCTTCACTATGCCTGTTGAACTTCATTCTCCATTGAAGACTCTCTAGAAGTTAATCAGTAATATTCATTTTATTTCATCTTTTAGGAACACATTTTTTTTTTTAGGAACACTTTTTTTTTAACCTCAATCTTAAAAATAATAACAAAAACTTTTGTCAAATGACGTCTATAAATTTCTTTTACTTCTTCTAAGTATGACTGAGCAACTGTACACTTTATAGCTTGGAGGCAGACAGACTTGGGCTGAGGTCTGGGCATATATTAAATATGTGGGTTTAGCAAGTCCTCCAACTGCTGAAGTCCTCAGTGTTTGCCTCTGTGCAATAGGAATAATAAAACCTATTTCATGGTAGCACCAAGGCATGATTTTGAAGGATGTCTTGACCTCCATGTCTCTTTTTATCAGCAATTTCTCCATTCTTTGATGTAAATGATTTTCATACTTCCTCAATCTTATGTACAGATACCTCTGTCTGTGAGCAAAATGGCAAGCCATTCTACCACCCCTTTCCAATCAGACACCAACCCTAAGCCATTCCCATGTAGCAACATCAAAGCAGCCATTGCCGGGATGCTTAAATGAGTTAATGACTACAGAGCACCTAGCAAAGAGCCTGGCACATGGTAAGTGCTCACTAAATGGTAGTTATTATAACAATTATTATAGGGTAAAACACTGTCTGGTTTCCTCAAACTGATAACCATCATCAAACAGCATTTAATGTCAGGATGAAAAAGTCAGACAGCCCAGTTTGATCCATGCTAACTAGGAGTGTGGCCTATGATTGAATTCCGTTCAATTCAAGTCAGCAGGTGTGTGTTCACAGGACTGTCTTCCTTTTCAGTGGCTCTGGAGGCTTTCATGGGAGACAGCTGTGTGTAGGGAGGATCAGACAGGCTGAGGAGGCTCAATGACAAAGCAGGTTTACGGGGAGCCTTCCCACTTCTGCAGCTCCTGCTGGCCTTCCTGTCTGTCATCTCTTCAGCTGGCGCTGAGTTCGCCCATCCCACTCCTCTCCCTCCAACGCTATTTGTTGGGGAAAAGACTGAGGAGCCCTGACAATGCAGAGCCAGGTGTTAGCTGAGAGATCCTAAAATGAAGCTGCATTGAGAACCATGTGCAGAATGAGCAAATCATGGGTCCCCTCAGTCATCTAGGGAGAGAAGAGCCTCTGAGTCCCATTCCTAAAGAAACCTGGATTCATCCATGGGAGAGACAGAGTCTGTCCTTTTTCTGAGATCTGTGAGTGAGGTCAAGGATATTAGCCAAAGCCAGTGGGATCCACTGGGATCCAGAGCGCAGGGCACGTTTATTCATTGTTGGGTATCGCATCTGTGTTTGCTTAAAGGTATTGTGGAGCTCATGAAATGCATTGAATGGAAAAGACTGCTCCACCTTCACAGCTGGCCTTCTTGCCCAGTTTCTTATCCACAGAAGGTGACTGAGAGCCTGTATACCTGCCCAGAGTTAGTAATCCTTCTCATTAGCCTTGGAGGGAACTCCAAAAGCTCACAAGGAAAGCCAAACAGGGAGGAGGTTTTTATTAATCAAGTGGATTTAAGTAGGCCCAGAAGAGATTGGGTAGGAGGGCAGAGATGGAGGGCACTGGGAAATATTCTGAGGTTTCTCCCAACTCCGTAGCTCTAAAAAATATGTTGTCCCTCCAGGGGAGAGAGATTAGAGCAACCAGGAGAAGTTATGGGTTAAGTAGTCTAGATATTTTGACTCTATGTTTAACTTCCACCTAGTGATCAAAAATAAGTACTCAGACCAAAATGTTTGGAGAGGGAGGGACAATAAAGGGAACGGCCTCAGAGGCCACTCATGCTTCTTTGGATATTTACAAAGTCTGGTGGGACAACATTAGGTTGGTTTCAGCTGTGTAAATAGAGGAACTTCCATTGGTTTAAAGGAACATTTACAGGAAATCTCTAGAGGTCCAAATGCAAAAAAACCCATCCTTGTTCAGAAGACTGGAGATAATGAACATGAGGATTTGAGAAGACAGTTTCTTCTGTGGGCCAGTGGTCCACACCTTACAGCCTTAGATTTCATCAAACCTGTTGCCTCTCACCTGGGGAGAACTGACTCAGCAGTGCCCATTCACAGCAGTTCCATGACTTCAGAAGCAACACACTGCTCTTCCTGCACTTTTTGCTGAATGTTCTTTTTCTCTCTCAAATATCCAGTTATGTAGGGACCCACTGCTTTTCTGCTTTGCTGAATTCAGCCATGAATCCCTCATAGCAGGGTGAAGGGGAATTTCATGCTGAAGATATGCCCAGGAGGCACCGGGGTACCTCGTGCTGGCCTCCACCGGCCTCCTCTCCCGGAGGCCCTCAGGACACCCTCTCTGGGATCTGTGTGAGAAGGGATGGTCAGGTTGGACTTTGGGTGCCCATTTAATGGCTGTTTGTGAAACTTTTACTCAACTTGGTAACTTGTCAAATAACCCTGCAGTAAACTTAAAAATGAAAAAAATTTCTAATGAATAACTGCAACTCCTCAGACTTATTCGTGTGCAAACAATTTAAATGCATTGAATTAAGACATATTAGGTTAAGTACACATTAAGCTAATACAGGGGAAAAAAAGGAACAGAAATTCGGAATCCTTCTTATTTTTGCTAATTAAGAAAGGGATTCAGGATTCTGAGTTGTGGTTGTCTGGGATCTGAAGCCTGAGACGCTGACACCAGGCTCCACAGTCCTCCAGGCTGGAAAATCTTCCTGCCTTACAATGAGGGCAGTCTCCATCCTTGGAGACTGCTGCACTGGATAGAGGCCCACTTGAACATAATTTAAAAGGGTTGGGTGGTTAAAAAATGAAAGTAGACATAATAAAATATATTAAAAAGCAACTCGCGTTTTTAAACTTCTTGTTATTTTGCTTAGAATATGTACAAGAGATGGGAGAAAAGGTTTGTGTCTCATTTTACTGCCACCTGGTCTTTCTTTATGCTACCTTTTGATATGTTTATAAGATACAGACTACTTTAAATGTCCCTATTTTGTGTAAGTTGGCTTTCACCTTTTTTTTTCTTGATGATAACATTTTTTAAAGAGCATCCAAAGTTCAAAGCAATGGCTGTTTTGTTAGGGAGGAAAAATGTTTTATCTTTGATAACTCCCGCTTCTTATCGGACTAGACTTTCTCTGTGGGTGGGTCCTCTGTCACTTTGTTTAACCATGCAGAAATGCAAGACTTTGTAGCAACCAGGGTTAAAAGAGTAAGGCCATTTTAAGGTTGAACAGACTCCTAATATTTCCAGCAGTGTTTGTCCCCAGATTGCTAAATATGTATTAGTGAGAATTCTTTCTATTATGAGTGACAAAAATCCAGTTTAATCTGGAATAAACATTAAAGGTTGTTTATGAACTCCTAACGAAAGAGTTTGAGGGTGTATCTCACTGGCTGCAGGCATGGCTAGATTCAGCTCCCCCTCCAACTCTTGGCTGTCTCTGTTGGCATTTAAAAAAAATTATTTGTTTATTTGGCTGTGCCGGGTCTAATTTGCAGTATGTGAGATCTTTACTTGCAGCATGTAAACTCTTAGTTGCTGTATGTGGGGTCTAGTTTCCTGACCAGGAATGGAACCCAGGCCCCCTGCACTGGGAGCGTGGAGTCTTAGCTACTGGACCACCAGGGAAGTCCCTCTGTTGGCATTATTGATATTGGCATTATCCACATAGTGAGAAGGATGGCTACTAGCAACCTCAAGTTTAAATTCTTATGAATATTGTTATGGTTTTGATTCATAGGAAAGAAAATTTCTCCCTCATCAAATGTTCATATAGAAATCACAGGAGCAATTCTGTTTGGCCCTGCCTGAAACATGTGCCCAATACTGAACCAATTCCTGTGACCATGGGTTATATGATCGTGGCAGGTAAAGCCTGGCCATTGATAGCATTAAGTGGACTAAATTAATGGGTGTGTGTGTTTGTGTGTGTTGGCCGGGAGAGGGGCAGGGGAGCGGTTCTCCCAAGGAGAAGCAAAGACACAAGCAGCAAATGTCCACTTGCAGACAGAACACCGTCATGAGTTCTTCATGCCCTTTGTGCGTAAAGGGCTAACAAAACGCCTTTCTGCGTGCGAATTTAAACCTTAGTTAACTTTCTGGCTCTGTGTCACTACAAACAAGGCAAAAGCACAATATTAACTATGACTAAGCAGCATTGCTTATGATAAAAGTGACTCCTGATTGGTAAGCCGCATCTGGACTTGGAGGAACTGCAAATGAATTGTGAATGCCAGAGGAGAAGCCATACTTTGGGCATCTCTGAGTGCAGTGACTTCCTTTCTTCTGTTCCAGGGCATTAGCCACCGTTTCTTATCACCTGCCTCCCCAACCACAGGCACAAACTCAAGCTGAGTTACATACCCCCACATATCACCATTTGGTTATTGCCTTTCATTACAATCATTTGCATATGTGCTCATCTTCCTTAATGGACTCTGAGCTTCCTGAGGATAGGGTGTTATATTTTTTATCTTGGCCACTTTTGCTTAGCACAATATCTGACATATGTGTGTGTGTGTGTGTGTGTGTGTATGTGTGTGATGTGTGTGTCTATATATAAATGCTTAATAATTGTTAATAGTTGTTGAATAAATGAGTGACTGATTTGTAAGACTGTGTGACTAAATGTTTTCATCTAGCATATAATCAGCATTTCTCATCTTTCTTTTTGTGACTGGTTTATATGGACTCTAGTTGGCACTGTTTGCAGATATTTGTATAAGCTGGACATGATCATTCTGTCATTTCCCAAAAGCTGTTGATGGCTCCTGGGGCTTCCCAGGTGGCACAGTGGTAAAGAACCCACCTGCCAAGTACGAGATGAAGGAGAGGATCCCTGGGTGGGGAAGATCCCCTGAAGAAGGAAATTGCAAACTTTTCCAGTATTTGCCTGGGAAATCCGATGGATAGAGGAGCCTAGTGGGCTACAGTCCATGGGCTCAAACAGAGCTGGCCATGACTTAGTGACTAAACAGCAGTTTGAGGCTCAAGACTAGACCTTTATCTCCAATTAGGGATCTAATTTCACAAGTGGCAAGAGAGGGTCCCAAGCAGTCTCTGTCTTTTCCCTTTGTCCTTTCTTGGTGATTCAATGAGGGCAGGGTTTCAGACTTTGAAGGGCTAGAGATATAGGTCTAAGAGGCAACACATCTGGCTCAAAAATATAAATAAGGTGAATTTTTGGTGCCTGTTTGTGACCCCAGCATGTATAGAGTCCCATAGGACTGATCCATACATACTTTTTTGGAAGTCATTTATTATTTTAGCACTTTTCCTTCCTTTTTCTTTAAGTTGTTGGAGAATCATAAGCTATTTTCTCAAGCAAACAGTGACCATTATCTTTTGATTATCTTACATTAGCAGGAGATCAGATAACAAATCTCAGATTCTGGGAACTTCTTATAAAGAGTCTTGCGTCTTGCTTTTAACATTTCAAACATCTTGCTAAGCTTTTGGTTAACAACATACCAGGCCAATTTTTGAATGTTTTCTTTAGTTGACAAAAATACTTCTGCTGCCTACCAAGTTGGCCACCCCAACTTCTTTTCCTGCTTTTAAATATCTCAGGCTAGAAAATTGAGTTTTTTAATAGGTGTCTCACCGTTCTTTTGATAGCCAAATGACATTTTGGCTATCGGAAATGCAGTCTCCCTTTGCAATGTGAAAAGTTGGAGAACTTACCATAATCAAAAGATTCTACCCTTGAACTTTCCTCCCTAACAAATGACACCTAAACATATCTCTTAATCTGTATTCTCTGGATGATTCCTAATTTCTCCATCCCATATCATACAGAGCTGTTCTCAAGAGTTTTCCTGTTGATCTTTGGTGAATGTCAGAGATAAGTATATGAGCAAGCATCTGAGCCACCAGGGAAGCCGCATTAACAACCAGGGAGGGCCTGGAAAGAAGCAGCTGATACAATGTCATGTCTCAATGAGTCATGTAAATATTAAACCCTGGAGAATTTCTCCTTCAAGCATTTTTATCAGTAAGGCAAGGCTTACTGACTGATATGCAAGTGACTCAGATGAGGTCTGGCACAAAATCAGCTTCTCGATAAATAGTTGAGTGAAAGACCTGTTCCATAAATGCAGAAAGTTGGTAAAAATGTTCTTTTTAAAAGGAATCTTGTCTGGCTGTGAGGTGGGGCCTCCCCAGATGCTTTGGAAGGGCCATGTCTAAACGTACCTCCCTGCCCCCATGAAAATGATTCTGTGCTGTTGGAGTTTGGCACAAAAACTCAGAACTGGATCTGGTTTGAAGTGAGACAGGCTGTGACGACCTTCCCCTAAGAACAGCCCAGAATGCCATGACCAGAATCACCGCCTTGGCCTCCTTGCCCTCCTCAAAATGCTCCCCACTTTGCTAGTTGTCTTGTGTGTTCAATAAGTGTGTAATAATATTGGAGTTTGTGACTGATTTTCAGAAGGGAAGAAAACCATTTCTTTTGGCAGCAGAGAGGAGCCACATCGAAATGATAGAAAAACTTATCTTCTTTAATCTGCATACTACAGAAAAGGACAAGGTAAGATGGAATTTTACTTTTTCACCAAGGACTAGAGAAAGGGAAGTGACAGTTGAGGTATAGATTTGGCAATGGCATTTTGGTGAGCATTTGAGTTCTTCGCTTGTTACTACAGTCGGAAAGATCATGGGATATCCCAATGAAATCAACCCACTCTTTCTGTGGACTGTCCGAATAACCAATTTTGCTCCATAAATGTCTGAAACTAAAGGACTACATGGAATTTTCTACTGTTAGCTCCAGTTGCTCTGTCCTTCCCCTGAGATATGCTGGGGACTCCAGCCCCCCTGACCAGGGAAGGAAACACCGAGTGGACATGCATGTCCTTCTGCACATCTTTGATGCTTTCTTTTTTTTTTTTAGGAGAAATTCCTAGATGTGAAAGTATGGGTCAGAGAGTTCTGCACGTTGTAAACTCTTTCCATATGATACTGCTAAAACTACCTCTCAGAAATCTTGCAACAGTTTGCCTTCCCAAAAGTTATATATAATTACTTGTATTATTCCCCTTTTTACTAGCCAATTAGCAGCAAATGTAAAAAAAAAAAAAAACAGCTATGTATTTTCAATTTAAAACTTAAAAAATATGAATTTCACCTAAAACCATGGAAAACGTGGCCAGCACTCGAGACACAGCTTTATCCAACGTGGCCCCTGCCGGGGAAGCCACTCTGCAGCCCTGCCCGTGGGCGGGCGTGTTCCTGGGAGGCTCTCCTGAGGGGGGTCTCTGTGCAGGAGGGGAGCCCGGCCCTGCACCTCGAAGCAAAGCGTGGGCACAACCCTGTGGTCCAGTGCTGCTCACCCAGTCACCAGAAATAGATGAGGTCAGTGAGGTCTGAACCCTGCTAGGGAGAGTGTTTTCTTATTCTGGAAGCCTACAGGGCAAGAAGGGCAAACAATAAATATTATATTGGGTTAAATACACTAACAGATGTACATGCAGTGTGCGGTGGGAGCACAAAGGAAAATCTGTTTCAGAAATACCAGACCTCCCAGACGAGGTCATACACCACGTGGGTCTGGGCATTCGAATGAACATGGTACCAGGAGGCCGGAGGCGGACACCAGGGTAGGCTTTGGGACAGAGCCCGTGTAAGGGAGCTGAGGCCTGAAAAGGCGTGGTGAGTGCCTGGATTGAAGCTCCGAGGATGGGGTGGGGTGGAGCAATGAGAGGCCGCGCTTCCCAGGAGCAGAGCTGGCTCTGACCTGCTGGTGCCAGAGGCCCGGGAGGGCTTCAGGCAGCACACAGCCGCGGGATCCATCCTGGGCGGACGCAGCACACTGACACTGCGCTTTGAAGGGGGGACTGCTGCCTGGAAAGCTGGAGGTGGGGAGGCCCTTCAGGTGACAGGAAGTGCCTGGAGCAAGGGCTGTTGGGAACCTCTCACCCAGGCTCTCAGGGGCAGCAAACAGGATGCGGGGGGAGGAGGAGGTGAGGTCACAGGGTTTGTGAGCAGGGGCTAGGGAGAGGGGAGACTTTCTGCCCCGCCAGCTCTCTGCTTGGACTCCCAGGACGGTGGGGTGCCCACCCCTGAGCTCTGGAGGGTGAGAGGAGGAGAGGAGCCTGAGTGCCTCAGTCAGGAGGGAGTGGGCGGGTTCTCCCTGAGACAGCACGGAGGGGTTTATCAGGTGAGGGGCGGCGGGCAGGGAGAAACCAGGCCTGCAGTTCAGTGGAGGCAGACTCGTGAGTCATCTGCTCTGGGAGGTCACTTTTTAACCTCTGGGTCCACGCCTGGGAGCTGGCTGTTTGGAGACCCAGGTGAGTGGAGTCCTCTTGGACTTCACAGTAGTGGTGATCAGACTGAACTGGTTTAACTTTATGAAGATCCTAGGAATTTGATCTTCTTGAATAAAAGTTATGGATGATGTGTGAGAAACTCAAGGAGAACTTGAGTCACCTGGCACAAATCTGAGCCCTGATTGGCCTTCACAAATATAGAGATCCAGCCCTATAGTCATAGGATTTAAAGTCTTAGTCATGCTGGCCCTTTTCTGTTCTAATGCTTTACCACTGGAATCTGTGCTCCTGGATGTAATCCACCTTTTAGCTAATTTTGAGTCAGGGCACATTGAAAAAAAGTCTTTAAGTCTAACAAACTGTAATTGTAGACTGTGGTAGATTTCATTTGCACAAAGTGTGTAGTGATACTATTAACCCTTTGGATGAAGCCCATAATGTACATACAGTCTCCGGCTGCCTCTGTTTGCTGACACAGGCTCTTGGCAGAGCACGGAGTGACTCATAGGACTAGGCTTGAGTGTGGTGCTCTCCAAACATTCCGGGTAACAAACTCATATCAGGAAAGAAAATGTGAGCATGCCCCTTATCACAGGTGCATTTATCATTAAATCAATATGAAGGAGGAAACAGACAGAGTTGGACTCTGTCTTAGGCCAGGCTGCGAACATCAGGCCACACGCATGGTCACCCTCCCAATGGACTCTGAACTTTGTGCCCGTGTCTATAGAAGAGGCAGACCAATGGGAAACCAGACCCCTGGATAAAAGAGCCACAGGACTTGGACTTGGACTCTCGTGACCTAAAAGAATATGCTAATTATCTCTGTAACAGAACAAGGTGGTAAATTCCATTATGTTTATCGGGATATGACCACAGGCCTATTGATAAATGTCCATTGTTCATCTAGTCTTATGACACATGAATCATGGGTTAACTTTGATCATATCTCTCTTTTACCTTGTCCAGACTAGTTTCAAGGAATTTGGGGAGGTGGGTTTCAGCAAGTAAACTTAGGGTATATAAGGTTTTCACAAAAACTGGTCGGAGTCCTTGGCTAAGAGGAGACTCTGCCTTGGGCCCGCC